CAAATATTTTTCTCGTTTCACTGTTCCCAATAATAAATTTCTCCCAAGGATTAAGAATAGATTCTTGGCCTCTAGCTGAATGCAGAATTGGTAAATCTCTTCTGTAAAACATAACTGTAGATCCTTATTTCTCAGTAACCTATTCTTGAAACAACAGGCTGGCTGCAGAAGCCTTTCACCAAGAGAGAACCAGAGGAGGTGGAATTACAAAAAAAAAATACTCCCACAAGCCACTTTTTAATATGGCAGGTTAAAGGAGAAGTACATGTCAATGACAACCAAAACTTTCTCTGCGATGTATGAAGACAGACAGGAAGGAATGAATTTGTCCTGCAGATGTAAGTGCTTAATGTGTACTACCAAGTTATTCTTGGTACCCTTGTTTTTCCCACACTAAAGTAAGAAATTGGCAAGTGGATTATTGATTTTATTAATCTGATCTGTGTTGCTCATTCATTCAGAGATTCTTCACCATTTGGAGTACTAGTAAAATTGGTTTTGTGAATGTTTAATTGAAGACCAAACCCTGAGCCCAAAGTCAGAATACCTTGTGAGGCTCAGCACAGAACAGCTCTTGGCTTCTTTTTAGTCTTTGTATTATAAACATCCTAACTGTATGACTATCACTAGTCTATTTCTTTAATATGTTTCTAATTTTAATTTTATTTTTATATAATTTCAATCTTGCAGAAAATTTGCTTGCAACAGTTCGAGACCATTGCACACATAATCTTTACCTAGATTTATCCTTTTTTTTTCTGAGACACATGAGAATAACTTGAAAGTGCCTTGCCATTTTATGCTTAAATATCTTAGACACAATAGCAGTACAGCTTTTTTAAAATCAGGAAATTTAACCTTTATGTAACATTATTACATTAAATTTATCTTTTATATTAAAATTTCTTTGATTTTCTAATAATGTCTGAATTAGTTTCCTTGGGCTGATGTAACAAATTATCACAAACTATGTGGCTTAAAAACAACAGAAATTTATTCTGTTACAATTATGGAAGCTAGAAGTCTGAAATCAAGGTGTTGACATGGTTGGTTCCTTCTGGAAGCTCTGAGGAAGAATCTGCTCCATGTTCCTCTCCTAGCTTCTGGTGTTTGCTGGCAATCCTTGGTGTTCCTTGGCTTGTAGTTGTGTGACTTCAATCTCTGCCTTCATTACAACATAGACTTCTTCACTGTGTGTCTCTATATATCTTCACGCAGCCATCTTATAAGGACACAAGTCATGATTTAGGGCACACCCTAATCCATTATGACTTCATCGTAACTGCAAAGACTCTATTTCCAAATAATGTCACATTCTGAGCTTTAAAGTGAACACGAATTTTGGATGGACACTATTCAAACCAGTACAACATTTTTAATAGCTATATTTTTTTCTAGTGTTCAATCTAGAATCGCAAATTGCATTATTATATTTCATTAGACAAATTCAATCTGGAGCAGTTATACAGTTTGTGTGTGTGCATTTCCTGATGTTGATATTTTTTAAGAGTACAGGAAATTTTTTTATCTCTTTTTTTTTTTACAGTATTCATCAATTTGAAATCATGTTTCCTCTTGAACAGACACCAGTTTGCTAATTTTTGTCAGGAATGCCAATGAAGTGATATTGGACTATTTTCTCTTAATGATTTAGTTGCAGAAATAGTTTTATATATTCTTGACATAGATTTTTCTTACATATATGTTTTAATTTTTTTTTTTTACCAGTGTGTAGCTTCACTATTTACTTTTTTTTTTAATAGTTTCAATTGAGGACCAGTTTTTAAATTTGATGAAGTCTAACTTACATAATTTTCGTGTTATGTCTGTTGCTTTATATTATCTAAAGATAATTTCTAGCCACAAGTACAGTAATATCCTCAATGACTTCTTTTAAAAGTTTAATTGATTTAGATTTTGTATTTAGTGTATATTGCAAATTAATTTAGCATTTTATTTGAGGTAAGAGTCAAGATAGAGCAAAGATTTAAAATTATTGGAATTTATTATTTTACTTGAATAAAATCCTCCAATTTATGATTTACCAAATGAGTTCATTTGCATTTCATATTTTTATTAATACTTTATTTTCTGAGAATACCAAAGAACAATGAATGTCTTAAGCACCTTTGAATCTCCCAGAAAATCATATCTTCATTCACATTCATAATCAACACACATAAATTTACATGAGCACACGCACAAACACACACATGCTCTCCAAATTTTTATTCTGAATTTCTACTCAATGAATTTTCTCTCTAAGCAGAACTTACTAATGTGAATAAGATAGTAGACGGATAACATATTAGATAATTGAAATTTAAGTGCTCTGGATCCTAACTGTCACCTTGAACCATCATTGTATTTTATTAAATAAAGATGAACATGTGAGTGAAATACAGCACAACTGTGTCAAAGACCAAACAAATTCTGAGACAAAATTAACAATATATGTTTATTCATAATTTTGCAGCAAGGTAACCCATCTGTTGTCACTATCATTTCAGCAGGTGTTCAAAGGTCTTAGAAAGGAAAGTAAATTACACAGATTTAATGAGGAAATATTGAAACAGACTCCGATTGGCAAGCATTCTAATAAGGTGTTATTTTTGGAAGGGAGGTCTCTTTTTGCCTGTTCTTGTTGGCTGAAAAGAGGCAGGAAAACAGTCTGGGACATTTCAAAAGAGGAAGGAAAATAGCATACCGAAGAGATATCTGCACCCTCGTGTTTATTGCAGCACTATTCCCAGGAGTCAAGATATAGACTCAACCTCTGTGTCCATCAACAGATGAACAGATAAAGTGTGGTATATATACACAATGTATATATGTACTCAGCTATGAAAAGAATGAAATCCTGTCGTTAGCTGCAACATGGATGAATTGCTGAAAGTGAAATGTCAGGCACAGAAAGATAAATACCATATGTTCTGACTCATGTGGGAGATAAAAAAAAGTTGAACTTTTAAAAATAGAGAGTGGAAGCAGGGAAGAGGATCGGGGAGGAAGGATAGTGAGTGGGTGGTTAATGGACCTAAAGTTACAGCTAGCTAGGGAAAATAAGTTCTAGGTGTACAGCAGTGCTAGACATCTACAATTAGGAATGAGTTATTGTATTGATCTCTGTGTTAGAAGGTTCATCTCTGGACTAATATTTACACTATTGATATTTTTTTGGATCTCTGACTCCTAAGTTGATATTCCTTAACTAACATTAAACATTTTATTAAGTGTTCTTTATATTCAAAAGGCACTACCTTTACATGACTGAGTCCTTTTAATTTTAATTAGTGATGTTAAAGTTGTGGAGGCCTTTTTACCAGTTACTTTTTCAACCAACTTTTCTGCATATTCCTCGGTTTATAATAAGGGAGGAACTTATAATGCTGTCAAAGCCCAAACAAATTACAGCTCATATTGTACTTATTTAGCAAAATTTGATAGATCTCTAATATTTAGAAATTCATCATTCTTTCCCACTCATTCATATACCTGGGTACATAGTACAGTACTCATAGTAAACCAACAAATTCTAACTTGCGTACATTTTGATTATTTTAAAGGTAACAATCTTGAAAATTATCTTTTATCTCCTTTATGAACTGTCAATATTCTTGTCCAGAAAACACACTTTTTAAAAATCTTTTACAAGTCTGAGTCTCTTTTATCTAAAAAAGAGACAAAATTTAGAAAGTACTTCTTTTTATAGGATGATATCTGTTACCCTAGAAAACACTGCTGCTTTATCAATTGCTACCTTTCATCTGGAGCCTTAACCACAGAAACATCCACACAATTCAGTCCTTTTTTCTAGATCCTTTCTTCACCTTCTCTACCAGAGCCAGACTTACTATGAAGCTAGTAAAACTTCGGCTTCAGAGTCCCACCCTTGTGTAGTCCCATTGCCATGCCTTGTACTTAACTCTGTATTCATAATTTTGCATTATTTTTCTTGAGAGACCCCTCCAAATTATATGTTCATGCCCCGCAAATCCTGAATCTGCCCTTTTCCTATATGGGACTCAAGAGTAGAAGGCTAAGACAAATAAAAAGCAACTCAGTGTCTTGAAACTGAGATTGTAACATTACACATTAACATTATAATTCCTTTGGGTGGCCAACTTTTCTAGGTTAGCTTGAAGTGAATGGGTGCAATTCATCATGGCTTAGTTAAATTTTTGTGCAGTCTTCTCTAGAACCCTATTTTACAGTGAGGAATTAACACTTTTGGGAACACCTACATGTCATGTTATTGTTCTAAAAATACTTTGACTCTTATTGAAACCCTGAACAGTAGGAATTAAGGTCTCAAACTCTGTCTCAGAGTATTAAGGTAATTTGTGCAAGGTGATACAGCTAGAATGTTTGCATCCGGGGTTTAAATCAGTTCTGTCTGATTCTAGAGCTCATGAGGCCTCCACACAACACAGCTGGAGTGCTCCTTTTCTTTCTTTTTTTTCCCCCTAAATTTTTATTGGATTTTACCAAGATCATCCATAGAATACAAAGTTAGAGATAAGTGTGGGAGATAGGATAATTATAAATTTTCAAAATACTTAGTAGTATGAAATTAGACATACACCTTTCCCCTTTTGCCACAAGATAAACTGTCAATGAGGACTATTTAAAAGAAATGTTCAACTCTACATAGGGAAGTGGCCCAACACTTTGCTCTACAGAATAACTTTTCACTTCCATATACAATTAGCATTGCTACTCTTCCACTATACACAAATGTGTGGAAAATTTTGTCAGGAGCTTTTGCCCAGAATAGGAGATTAAAAATAGAGCATGTCCTAGTGGCTATTAGGCTAATTATAACTCAATTAACATTGGGGGGATGGATTTATAAACTCTGGCCATAATTTTTCTAAGCATCTTCAAAGCTGCGGAATTCTGTCATTCTTCGCATTTGTGTAGGTTTCCACAGCTTCCGCCAAAAGCCTCAAAGCTCTGCTCAGTCCCGTGTGTGACTCTTCTCCTTGCTGCGGTGCACGCTAGTCATCGAGGTCCGGAAGGTCGTCATAGGAGTAGCCCCTGCAGCCTCTGTGTGCTCTGCAAGCGACGAACAGGTGGTAGAACCCGGGCAGGAACACCAGGACGCCAACGATCAAGAAGGGAACGGCCCGGCTGGTCCCCACATTGCTGAGGTAGCCCGCCAGCAGAAGGCAGCCCGTGATAACGAGGACGGCGCCGACCAAACACTGCACCGTGGCGCAGGCAATGGCCTTATAAGGAATCTTGGTAGGGCTCTTCTTAAACTTTAATAAGGGACCTCTCACGACAGCTGGACATCTTTTTGCTTTAAAGCTAGCTTCAGCAGGTAAAGTTTCCTTCGGTATGTTAATGTGTCTGTCGTCATTGCCGGAGCGCTTCGAGTGTTTTACTGAGCTACTGGGAATCCCAGCGGCCACGTTGGGACGAGCGGGCACCATACCCCGCAGAGTGCGCGGAGCGTCAGGGCCCGCGCATGCGCACCCAACGGCTGCCCGCCTGCCCACGCGAAGGGATACGGGTTACCATAGTGGCTCTCATTCATCCGCGCGATGGGGTACGGGGTACCGTAGTGTCTCTCATTCATCAGCCTTCACCTACGTAACCATCCCTGGGAGACTGCTGGGGGCGGGGCGGGGGGAGTTAAATCGCTTCTTCAGCATGCAAAGTTGTCATTACTTTGATGGATCGTCTCATCTTATATTGACTCTATGTATTATTTGGCTCTGTTTGTTATTTTCTTAGGCTAGTTCTAGTAAATCCCAGATTCCTTTACCATTGAAACTATTTAGATTGTGTAGATTAGATTAGATTCCATTCATTAGATTTCACTCAATTGCATGTAATTTCCATTTTCTCTCTGGCCTTTCATCTCTTCCATTTGTCTAACATGCAGCCTACGTGGCTAATCTGATCAGCTGCATCAGATTATTGTGAATATTTACATCAGAATATTGTGAATGAAGTATACGAACTGCCTTGCATGGTGCTCTCCGTGGAGCTCAGGTCCTGACACGATCAAGGGCAAGTAGGTTTGTTCAGAGTTCAGGGCATTTCGCTCTTAAATTTCGGCTCATTTTATAGATAGATTTCCTGCAGATTGCACTGAATTGGCTTCCTTGTGGGAGTGGTGTGCCCTTTGGCATGCTAGGGTTTAATCTGAAGTGGTGTGGTCTTCCGTTAGGCCATCGTAGAGGGGTTCCTACTTCATGGAGGTTGAACTGGAGACCTCTAAATTTTCTCCTAACTCCTAGGTTTTATGAACCTGAGTTACAGTCTCTTCTTTGAGGTTTTTTACCAACCACATACATAATTCTCTCTTCTGTGTCTATGCCTACTTACTAATCTATGCTGTTTTAATAGTTTATAATTCATCCTAAAATTTATCGCCTATTACATTCATCATCCTATTTAAACAATTTAACCTCATCTGTAACATGCATTTTAAATTCAACCAGTGAGTTTATTTTTTAAATGTATTCTTATGTACTTAGGATTACCTCATTATCACAACTAGTGTATAAACTTCTCTAGGGAAGTAATGGTAGTTCTTCAAGGTTCTCATAAACCTGGAGAGCCTAACAGTCAGTTATTTGCATTTTGTGAACCCGATGTTATTTAAATTTACCACGAGATGCAAATATATAATTACTTAAGATAATTCTATCTATAAGTATTTAAATTTAGTATAACATTTACAATCTTACCTTCATTTACATAGCACTTCATCATGTGCAATCTCTTCCCCCAACATGTCTCAGAAATATAAGGCTGGATTTGTATATTTAACTGCAAAGTCACACAGCCAGTTAATATTAAATTCAGGAATGACTTACATGTGGAGAATCTCCCAACTATGAAGAGCCAGAAGCACAGTCATTTGAAATGGAATTGAACTTTGATTTCACTGCAACTCCTTGTGTTACATGCGTATGATCACATTTGGCATGAACTAGATGACACAAGTAGTGTCTCAGACCTGTCAGTTTTGGGTTGTTTAGACTGGACCTTTGCTTTATGAAAAAGAAGAGCAGTTGGGTAAGATCTGTATGAGAAAAGAGAATTAAACTAAGGCAAGGGAGTGAATCCTCACCGTGAATGGGCCAATCCTCAGAGATATTACCAGCTTTCCGTGAGATTCTACTGCCATAAAGGGGGCCTGTGCCTGAGGTTGTAACTGTGCTACTGCAAAACAAGAGGAAAAGGAATAACAGCATAAACTGTAGAGCAATACTGACATATTGTTCAGAGGAGTCTGACAGTTTATTACTGAAGTATATTTCAAATAGTTTAACATTAATGTATTATCTTAATTATATCAACTAGAGTGGGCCATAGCTTGTTTGCTTGTATAATGCAGTTAGTTCATTTTATTTATATATAGATAAATAATCTTTTAAGTTTTAAAATATAAATTGAAATAATCTCACTACTCGTTTTAAAATGGCTTAGGGTCCAGGCTTTCACTGAGGTCATGTGACCATTAGGCTGGCTGCTTCCTGGGATCATCAAGGGAAGTGTTAATCTTTATAGATATGGCTCCAAAGCTACCTCAAACTTCCCTAAATTCAAAGTGGCAGAGAGGCAGTAGCGTTGTCCAGAGATGTGAGGTCTCTCAACAGAATGTACCCTACTTGAGCAAAACTAACTTGGAAGTTACCTTAACTCTGTTTTCCCTCACTGGCATTCATAACTATCACATATAATTACTGGCGAGTGAAAACAACAAAATCATGTTTTCATGTGTCATCCTCCCCTTAGTATGTACAACAGATACATTACAAGCAACTAAATATTTCAAAAGAACTGTGCCTTTCCTGCTGTTAATAAGATGTGTGTTTGTTGGTGTGTACACATGCTCATGTGTATTTCTTGTAATCCACATGATAATACATTGATAAATTCATTTTTCTCTTTCTGATTGGAGATTGGGAAACCATATAACTGTGTCACAGAATGAGATATTTGATAGATTTTTTTTCATGAAAAGATGAAAGCTCTTCTTATTAAATTTATCTGGGATATGAATGAAGAACTTTAAATTCAAGGCAGCAGAATATCACCTACAACTGTGTGCATTAGAATTATACAAATATAGTGCACTCTCTCTCTCTCTCAACACTGGTACATAAGCTTTGTCACTCCCACTGAAATTTGGGGACATTACTCTCTTGTGATTCTCTCATGCTTTGCTCCTTTCCTAGAACATTAAATGATGAAATTTGTTATGGCTTTTCTTACTATTGATCTAAATTGTCAGTTATTTTTATTAATAAACTTTTAGAAAAAAAAGAATTACCCAAATATAAACCAATACAGGCGTTTCATTGATTCTTTGATTTTTTTGCCCTGTGTTTTCTACCTTACAAGACCTGGCAGTACCTAGTCAACCATTAAAACTTGAGCTGCACAAAAAGCCTTCCCCAGGGAATCAGCAGCAAAGCAGCAATTTAGCTCAACCACAGGGCTCAAGTGTTGGTCCCCACAGGCAGTTCCCCCATTTTAGAAGTAAGCAAAGGACAACAAATTAGTTCCAGTGCAAAGTTTAAGTGGTGGGAACAGCAAATAATCCAACACAGAGCAGAAAGAAAAAACAAAATACCCACAGACCAGAGACAAAGTTTGATATTAACTAGTAAAGGTCTCACTTCACCAAAGAACACCTATAAAACCTAGAAGGACTGGAAGTCTCCTGGCCCACAAGCCAGGAAGGGAGAGGGCCAAGGGCCTCAGCCATGCCCCCTGACACCCACAACCAGACCAGTGATGACCAAGCTGCTGCAGGAAGTGCCCCAACCCCACACAGGGACAGTGGGGGACCAAGGGCCTTGGCCATTCCCCCCTGACACCTGGCCTCAGCCCAGTGATGACCACCAAGCCGCCACAGGAAACACCCTGTGCTCCTGAGCCAGGCAGCTAGGAACTGAGGGGTCCTGACATCTGCATTCAGCCCAGCAATGACCAAGCCACCACTGGAAGCCTCCTGGTCTTCCCTGCAGGAATGAGGAGGAGTGCCACAGAACTCAACCATCCCCCCTTCCTTCCTCCTTCTCACACCCTATTCCCTTCCCCCTTCCTCTCTCCCCCTCCCACCCAACTGCTCTGCAACAACATCTTAGAATGGAAAAACAGATGGAGCTGGGACTGATCCCTCCTCCTGCAACCAGGCACACCACTGCTGCCACAGGGCCACCCAGGGTCCTAAGGTATGGAGCCACGGACTAACCCCTCCTCCTACAACCAGGCAAGAAGCATGCCAATAACACCACGTCCATGTGGGTGGCCCATCACAGCCACCACAATAGCCACTGCAACCACAAAAGTGCCTAGACACCACAACCACTGTGCAGATGGCCCACCAGCCACTCAAGTGTATTGACACAGGACAGTCACCAGCAGAGACCAAAGAAAAGAAGAGGATGTCTCTCTTCACAAAGCCCATTCCAGAATGACAGAAGAAGCATCTGCTCTATGATAATAGTTGGGGATCTGAACACACCTCTCTCTTTAAAAAAAAAAAAAAAAAGATGACCGGTAAGGGGATCTTAACCCTTGACTTGGTGTTGTCAGCACCACTCTCTCCCAAGTGAGCGAACCAGCCATCCCTATATAGGGATCCGAACTCGTGGCCTTGGTGTTATCAGCACCACACTCTCCCAAGTGAGCCACAGGCCGGCCCTCTGAACACACCTCTCTCAGCACTGGACAGATCATCTAGGCAACAAGTCAACAGAAGGAGAGAAGAAATCTAGGGTTATCAGAGGTGGGAGGGGAGAGTGAAAGAAGGATGGGGAGAGATTGGATAAGGGGCATAAAGAACGAGTATGATTTGTAATATGATTTGTAATGTATATGCTAATAATATTGATTTGATCGACATACATCAATGTCGAAACCCCAAAATATGTATAATCAATTATGAGTCAATAAAATAAAAGAAATATTCTGGGATTATGAATATTGACTTGGGTGATGGATATATTTTGGCAATGGTTTGTCAAAATTTATTGATATGTACCCTTAGGATTTGTGCATTTTGCTATATGCAGATTATATGTGAACAAAGTATTGTTGGAATTTTTAAAAATGGGACAGGGGAGATATTCCCCAATATCATGAAGCACATATACAAAAAGCCTACAACAAATGTTGTTCTCAATGATGAAACATTTACAGCTTCCCTCTAAGACTGGGAAAGAGAATTTGGAATAGTGCACCTGTTATTACCATTCGTATTCAACATTGTACAGGAGGTTCTAACCAATGCAATACAGAAAAAATTGATATAAGGATTGCTAAAGAAGTAATAACACTGTCATTATTTGCAGATCGCATGAATGTTTATGTAAAAAATCACAAACTATTAGAATAAAATTTTAAAAGATCTCTGGAATGAGAGGTCACCATACAAAAATCAATTTTATTTCTATATATTAGAAAT